TCACAACTCCCTTGCTTCACCCTTGCCTTAAGGAGAAACTAACATGGATCTATTGTCAGAAATGAATATAATATTCATAGGTAGGTTTTCATTAGTGTATAATAATCTGAATATAGGAATCATTGTGTTTTTGTTACCTTCGACCTTATAATGAACTGTTTTTATCTACAGAGGGAGCGGGTCCTCTTCTACGGGGTCTGACATGTTAAACCACCATGTTTCTACAGTAGCCCAGGATGGACAAACCAAACACTGGCTCTAGATGGGGCGTTGGGAGTTTGAAGTGAGGGATTTGCGATCTGCAACTTCACTGCTAGATCCCACTAAATCCTACACAGTGGACCTTTTACTGCCAATGGGAAGCTGCCAGTGAGTGTGTGTCTTTGTTAGTTTCAGTGCTAGCTGGGGGCAGTTTGTAGTGCTTTAGAAAGCTCACTTTCCTACACATACTCCACATGCCTTTCCTCACTATGGGTACCACTTAACAGATAACAATGCTACGCAATAACGAGAATGACAGTGTCTACAAACTCACCTTTCAACAGAGACACATACACCCCCACATGCCAGCTGCAGCTTAGAACTGGTAACTGAAGACTACTACTTTAGTAGTGTGATGCAAACATAACATTTTGCTGTTGTAACAGTAGAGGAGGTATGTGTGTCTGTGTGTGCATGTGTGCATCTTTGTTTTACAGACTCCAGCCTGCTCGACACTGCTCCACAGGTATTCATTAAAAGGCACAAGTTTAGACCTGAAGAAGAGGCAGTGAATGAAACATGATTGAAGGAGCCACATTTTTTTGTTCGTTCTCTCTGATTCTAGAAAAAGCAAACAGAATCACCATCAACCCCTCACTCTCAATGTGCTGTCACTTTTTGGGCATTTGACAGTAAAACCAAGAAAATCTAGTCATGCATTTCTCACCAAATCAAACTGTCACTAATGTAATGTGTAAAATGTGTCATGTTGGCAATCTGGAAACCAGTCTCAGTGTCTCATTTGATGTGTTTAGTCTGAGACACTTTGCTTTGTATCTTTAAAGGCAGATTCATAGCCACTGTTAATTCAGCGGCTTCCATGTACCTTTGTCGATATTTAGTCGCTGCTCATACTTAATCCATCTGTTGGGAATTGACTGCAAAAATTATGGACAGTAATCACAATCATCATTATTGTTTAAAGTCGTGAAGATTTTTAAAATAGAAACTGGAAAATGCAGATGCTTTAACAAATACCTTTGGGATATATTTTCCATCTTTATTCCTCACCCTTTGGTGTTCTGGTTTAATAGTCTAACTTGAGATGTGAGACTTCTGATTTTAATCTTTAATCATCACAGAGATTAAATGAGCCAAATAAAATTAGAATTAAAAAGCAGGGATGAGCGCTATTATCTGTATCGCTACAGGTTATAAATTAATTTTGAAAACTTTAACATAATCGGTTATCTTATCTGTATCCGCCATTAAAAGCAGCTAATTATCAGTTATCGTATCAGCTGAAAAATATCTTGTGCATCTCTAAAAAACTTGGAAGGTAGGGGCCAGGTTCTGCTTGGCAAAAAGCACTGGTTTTAGGACTGTAGACCTGTGACATTAACAACCATCCGTCATAGAAAGGGGAGACATAATATTGTTTGAATTTGGGATAACACATATATTTTCAGACAGTCTCTCCTGGAAGACTTTTATAAGCTGTGTTTCCACCAAACACTTTTCAGCATAGAAACTGAAAAAAACTGAAACCTGTATCTAACCTGTACCTACATGTAACCAGGTCTTGAAAGTATTAAGAGGGGAAGGAGGCCCACTGTATATATGCCCAGGCCACAGATTTACATTTGGATGCAATTTGGTAATTTTATAAAAAAAATAGGGGTTAAGATACTGTAGACTGGGGGCGCCCGGTTTGCTCAGTACCTCAAAAACAATTGGAATGATTTTAATCATTCCAATTGTTTTTGAGGTACCTGCATGAAATTAAGTTTTCATGAGACAGTTACATCATTTTGTATCCCCTCTGTATTTTCAGTGTTCTCTGATTTCCGTATGGAAGCAAATGGATTTTATTTTAGAAATTTAGGAACGTACGGTGCTAAAAAGATGATTAACATTAAAGCAGGACTTTCACATTGTAATGTACTCTGCTCCTCCTTAGTTTCTATTGCTCATCCTTTAGATATTGTCTTACACTGACAACACCCTTCTCAATCTGTCCTGTGTACAGTCATCACATTGTATTAATTGGTTGGATGGGTTGGGTAGTGACTCATGCTGCATAGCTTGGTATGCATCTCAGCAAGGAGAATGCTGGAGCAACATTATCTTCAGAATAACTAAAATTCCGAACAGCAGGAAGCCAGTTTACCAACACTATAAATTATGGTCTAAGAATTTACCACAGGGTTAAGTCATCAGGTCTTTGACACTGTAAAAAAAGGTGCCTCATCCAATTAGATTTACAGGTGTTTGTATTATTTTGTAGTATAGTCTTGTTAATAGCATAAAACCAAAACACTGTTATAACATGCACACACAAATTAGACCAAACAAATCCAAATCAGATAATTTACTTGGTCTTAAGTAAATATAATATATATATATATATATATATATATATATATTATAATCAGCTAAATGTATTTAAAGTAGTAAATAGATAATATTAGATGTAAAGATGGTAATGCAGTGGACAATATGTAAGTGATAATTAATAAATTAGTTTAGATTAGCATGAGGACTGGAAAATGGGAAACAGCTATAGCCTGGCTAGTGGTATTAACAACTGTATCAAGAGTAAAAGTACCCATTATAATTGTTCTGTACGGTTGTACAGTCTCAGTTGAGGTGCCGTTACTTTAAACTACTTCATAAACTGTTAGGTAGTTTTAGCCTTCTAGGGTGCCCTTCCAGTGGAGAAAACACAACAAAGTGTCCTCTCAGGTGCCCGTTCCAGTGTCCTCTAGGGCTAACCTTGGCTGACTTGTTTCACCATAAATGCATCACTACTTTCTGCATGCTTTTTATTTTTTTCACCCCGGCCCCCCCAGCCTTGTACACTGAGTAGAAGTATAAAGCATAAAATGTAAATACTAAATAAAGTAGCAGTATCTCAAAACTGTACTTAAGTGCAGTATTTTGCACCACTGTTAGTTTCACTGGTAAGTTCACTAATAACATGAAGTTTCAGTGTTGTTGCTAGTGGTACCTGTACTACTGTTCCTTGAGCACTAACTTAGTATGTAGGTAAAAGTGTTCACCTTTCGGCCAATCAGAAACTGGTATTTATCTTGGATAGGCCGTAAAAAATGGAATGGCACATTCCCTTGTTAAAGGAGTCCTAGACCGAGCAAATCAAATCAAATCAAATTGTTTAATCACCAACACTAAATATATTGATAAATTAATATCTAAACTGCAATTCAAGTACAAATAGTTTTACCCCATGTTTTTATGTCAAATCACAACTTTTCAAACTGAGCTATAGTGTTTTTTATTTTTTAATGTGTTATTCCTACCCTCTTGGTGTCACTATGGTATGAAAATCAGCGGGTAGATACATGAAACATGAATATCACGTCTGCTTTTACTGTTGTTAAATCTGAGAGTGGCAATGAGTGTTGAATGCTTTGCAGAATCTACACGCACAACAATGAAAAAAATGTGAGTGCCGTGGCCTGGCAAAAGTTCCAAAACGTAATTGTAAAAAACATGTGTTCAACATCAAAATGTCAGATGTCAAAATGGAAGTGAAATGAAGCTTGTGAGTGAAGTGTTGCTGTGTGAAACAGTGTTGCTACGTGTCTGTTTCTTTGTAAACCTGGTTAGTCCTGTTAAGAAGGAGTGGTATCTTTATCTCTGCTATGTCTCTCTCTCTCTAGTGCTTTCTAGCCGGGTTTCGGTGGCCAAAGGCTTGAAGTTAAGACGTGTGCGTGTGTGTGTGTTGCATGGGTAAGAGGGGGCACGTTGAGAGGCGGTACTGATGCTGCCTAACCTGTTCTCCTGGCTGGGTTTCAGCTTATAGGCATTTAACTGGCAGATCTATCCCATCTTGCCTGACAGAGCAGCAGTGATATACTGAGGAGGAGATCTCTCCTTGGGCTTTTCTTGGGTGGAGACATCACAGCAGCATACGGTGAGTCCATCAAATATGTTTTCTGGTTTGGTTTGGTTGATATGAGGCCCCAATGAGGAGATCATTTGGGGAGGACAATTATTTATTAATTAAGTAATGTTAAAACTTTGTTAGGTTGTTATTGGCTTTAAAATCAAACTAAAATATAAATATTTATTCATATATATTTTTTATACATGGACAGGTTTTTTTTATTCTACTTCTTCCTCAGATCAGTTATTTTAGGTTCATTTAGGAGGAAATATCGTTGAAAAAAACAGTATGACTTGCAAATGAGGTGTGGTGCAAGAATACACTGGGTGTAAACTGGGTTTAAAGGAATCTTAAAGCTGTTAAAGTGGAAAGTTCTAAGTACACATTCTTAAAATTACATATAGTCTGATAATATTTTTCAAATTTGTTCACAAGTCGAGGTTTTGATATATAGTGGCCCAATTACGAAGTCAAGATCTTAGAAAATCTGGCACTAAGGTTTCAAAATAAAATGATAAACTAATAAAAAATATACAGCAAATCAAATTTTATATTCACCATTGCTAATAATTACTGCTGTCATTGTGTCTTGCTGTACCAACTGGGACATACCAAACTGTTGTCATCTGACTCACACCCTAGTGTTATGTACTATTCTGTTGGTATCAGTGTTGCAGCCCTGTTTTAAAGGATACACCTGTTAAACAACACCCTGATCATTATTTTTTATCTCTGTCCTGTTTTCTTTCAATCGCTGCTAATTTCTGGTTTAGGGAGGTGTACATAGAGTCTAAAGCCAGCATGCAGTTTTGCAATTTGTCATCACTTCTATTTCTTATTTCTTTAGAAATCAAGCAAGAACGTCAGGAAGTGGTTATGTGTGTGTATTTTGAGCTCTCACTCTCTATATCCTTAGAAAAATACATTAAGCATACGTGTTGACTAATGACTGAATGTGTCTGTCATTGTAAATGGCAAAGTTGTTGCTTTTTCAGTCCTAACTATGTGAATATGACTGCTGAGTTGTTTGTCTACTTCAAGACTTAATTATCCTTCAGAGAAGCATCTGTTTGTGACTGCTACATTAACACTGATGGGACCATTTAAATTAACATGTTTTTGGAGCGTTAGTAGACAGTTTGGATCTTAGTGTTAGAAAACATCATGGATTCCCTTTACGTGAGGATTTATTTTACAATCCAGCACTGCTAAAGTTACAGCCCACTTCTTCTCGTCTTTATTTATGTAACTTTGCTGCAAGTGAATTACATTAGCGTTTACATGTGAATGTGTGATGTTGGGGTGTGGTTGAAGGGAGGGCCATGTATGTGTGTGTGTGCGTGCTGAGTGGTGTGGCATGTCGATCAGAATGCATCCAAACCAACTGGTTTAGATGCATACATTCCCCTGAACAAACCTGGCAGAGGCTTTGAATTCCTGAAGCATGAGGTTGTACGGTGTGTGGGCGTTGTTGTTTCTCAGTCAGTGTCAGAAAATTAAAAAGCTGCTAAAGGCAGGTGAAAAAACCTGAGCACAGGTAGGGATCTCTGGGTAGAGGGATAAACTTACCCCAAGTGAGAGCTACAGACAGCTGGTGGAAATGATTTCGGGAGTCCATGATAAAGAGAACACGACTCTTGATGAAGAAGTTTGAACAATGATAATGGTAAATAGACCTGTACTTGTATAGCGCAATAGGTATGTCATTGATTTAAGCTATATTAACATGATGTATTAACTAAATTTGCTTTTCTCAGGTGTTTTGCAGATATCCTTGCTGTGGTTTGGAGTTTCCATGGTTTCTTGTATTTTGGTATAAATCCCATAATATGTGGATGTAATAGATCTACGAAAAGATGGTAAGTAGAACATTCACATTGTATGTGGTGGCAGTTAAAATACTGTATTCCTGAGTTTGAAAATAACAAAAGATATGGTGCAAATGTGCGAAAATTGTATAAACCTGTCTGATTTTGTGTATTGTAAATCACTTTTAAACACAGAGCGAGGACAGCAAGACAAGACGTTTTTCAGAAAGCTTGGTCCTGGATGACTCGGAGAAAGGAGTCATCATTACAGGAATCACTGATGATACAATTGCTGCAAAGAGTGGCCTGCAAGCAGGTAAAATGAAAAGACTGTGAATACTGAAACTTGTGTTACTCTTGCTGCAGTTTAGGAAAGTTCAACCAGTGTCCGTAGATCTGAGGGAAAGATAGAAATATCCTGGTTTTGATAAGTTGTTTCTTCTTGTTCCAGGGGATGAGATTGTTGCAGCCACTATACACCTTGATCACCTGAACAAAAATGAAGTGCTGAACATCCTGAAGGTCCTGGAGCCATATGATAACAACATGAAGGTTCTGACAAAGAAGGAGCTGAGCGCCAGTGCTGGCCTCGGTTCCTTAGGATTAGGTCTCAAAGATCAAGCAGAGGTAAATAATTCTGTGGTGCTCACAGCAAAGAAAAATAACATTTAGTTAATAGCTGTGAAAAGATTTCACTCAAAAGTAGTTCCAATCCAAATCTAATCTCTAAAACCAAAACTACCTGCATGGCTATATACAGATGGGTAACAATTTAACACAATTCGCATCATGTTCATTTTCATCAAACCTTTCAATGAAAAAAGCCTGCAACAAATGCTTAATTTAATTTAATTGTTAGAAATTGTATTAATAGTAACAGCAACTATCTGACGCAGTGTTGATCATAACGGAACTGCAAAAGCATAATGAATTACCTTATTCATAATTCACTAATAATGATTAATGACACAAGACCTGTTTTAATCAATATTAACCTAATTTGTTTATCATTTCATTACCAACAGATGCTCAACCTAAAAAATGGGTTGGGTGGCAAAGTAACTGGTCACACTCTCAATGGAGACCTTCCCAGTCTCAGCCTAAATAAGCTTTCAGCTGATGCCGATTGCAGCTCCCTTGGACTAACTGGACCATATATAAAAGGAGATCTAGATGGCACCCTCAAAGCACCTGATGTTAGTGTCTCAGCTCCACAGCTCAATGCTCCCAGCACCTTGCTTGACATTGAGAAACCAGAAATTAAAACAGGTGATTTGAAATACAAGACCCCAAAATTCATAATGCCACACTTCAATCTGCCTCAGATCACAATACCAAAAGCAGAAATGGATGTTTCTGGTGATGTAGATCTCCCTTCTGTCAATGAAAATCTAGAGGCACCAGACCTTAATCTGTCAGCCCCAAAATTAGATCTGAAAAGTCCAGATTTGGACCTGAATGGACCAAAAGTTGATCTGAATGGCCCTGATGTAAATTTAGAAACCCCAAATGCTGATATTGAGGCCCCCTCAGGCAAAATCAAGTGGCCCCATCTAAAATGGAAAGGTCCCAAAGTTAGAGGACCAGATGGCAACTTAAATGCTGACCTGTCTGCACCTGATGTCAATCTCTCAACACCAAAGATTGATGGGGATCTAAGTGCACCAGAGGTTGACATTAACATTCCCAAGGCTGACATCAAAGGCCCTGATCTAGATGTTCAAACCCCAAATCTTGACATTGATGCCACATCTGGTAAAATAAACTGGCCTCATTTAAAGTGGAAGAAACCCAAAATTCATGGCCCAAAAGGTGATCTGGACTTAGATGCAAACCTGAACACACCAGATGTTGATATATCTGGTCAAAACGTGGAGGGTGGAATAAATGCCCCAGATGCTGACATAAGTTTCCCTCAGGCTGTCCTTAAAGGCCCTGATCTAGACATGCAAACCCCAAATACTGATGTAGAGGCTCCAGCTGGTAAAATCAACTGGCCTCATCTGAAATGGAAGAAGACCAAAGGCCCAAAAGCAGACTTAGACATAGATGCAGATCTTAACACACCTGATTTAAATCTTTCAACTCCAAAGATTGATGGTGACGTTAATGTACCTAATGCAGAGCTGAATCTACCAAATGCCATTCAGACCCCAGATCTTGACATTGATGCTCCATCAGGGAAAATTAATTGGCCTCATCTGAAGTGGAAGAAACCCAAACTTCACGGCCCCAAAGCTGATATGGACCTCAATGCAGATCTGAGCACACCAGATGTTGATCTCTCTGTTCCAAAAATTAATAGTGGGATTAGCACACCAGATGTTGATCTGAATTTACCCAAAGCAGATGTTGATGTTATGGCACTAGATGTTGACACTGAGGCCCCTTCTGGCAAAATCAAGTTCCCAACACTCAAAAAGCCCAAGTTTTTGCTACCAAGGGTGAAGTCCCCAGATGTTGACATTGATGCTGATGTGGAAGCACCTGACCTCAAGCTCTCTCCTAAAGCATCTCTTGATAGACCTGACATTGATCTGAATTTGCCCACAGCTGATGTTGATGTTAAAGCACCAAATGTTGACATTGAGCCTCCATCCGGGAAGTTCAAATGGCCCACTCTTAAAAAGCCAAAGTGGACTGTCTCAGGTCCTAAGGTTAATGGTCCAGATGTTGGTTTAGATGCTGATGTTTCAGCCCCTGACTTCAGTCTCTCAGCTCCAAAGATTGATGGTGACATAAATGCACCAGATGTCAATCTAAATTTACCAAAAGCTGAGCAAGAAGCCCCCAACTTAGACATTGATACTCCAGATGTTGAAGGCCCATCTGGAAAATTCAAATGGCCAACCTTCAAGAAACCCAAATTTGGCACACTGAAGGGTCCAAAGGCTGATGCTGATATGAAGGTACCAGACGTAGACCTCAAGGCGCCTGATGTGGATTTGAGTGCACCAGATGTTAATCTTATAGCACCAAAAATTGAGGGTGGGATCAAGGCTCCAGACCTCAATATCAACATGCCTAATGCTGATGTCAAAGGTCCAGATGTGGATCTTAATGGTCCAGATCTCAACCTTGAATCACAAGATGGTAAACTGAAGTTTCCTAAATTTAAACTACCAAAATTAAAAGTTCCCAAAGTCAAGGGTCCTGAATTGGATGCCTCTTTAGAAGCACCAGACATTGATGCCAGTCCTAATGTAGACCTAAAAGCACCAGATCTCTCTTTGTCTGCAAAGAAAATTGAAGGCTGTTTTGATACACCAGATCTTGACATTAGTTTACCAAAAGCTGATCTCAAAGGCCCTGATGTAGACCTTCAAGCTCCAGAAGTTGACGCCTCACCTGGAAAATTCAAGCTACCCAAAATAAAATTGCCAAACTTTGGCTTATCAGAGTCAAGGGTAAAAGGACCTAATCTTGATGTTGATGCTGACCTCAAGAGTTCAGATCTGGATCTTCCTGCCCCCGCAATTAAAGGAAATCTCAGTACTCCAGATCTAGATTTGAATGCTGATGTAAAGAGGCCAAGTCTGGATCTACCCATTGCAGACCTCCAGGTACCTGATCTCAACTTGAAAGCACCAGATCTCAGCCTGTCTCCACCAAAAATTGACGGGAACCTCTCAGCAGCAAACATAAACACAAAATTGCCAAAAGCTGAACTCGAAGCACCTGATCACCAAGTCACACTAAAAGCTCCAAATGTGGATATCAATGTGCCAAAACCAGTCCTCAAGGCACCTGATGCACAATTGAAAACACCAGATCTAGATCTCGATTCCCATCTGGGTGACTTTAAAGTGCCTTATTTCAAGCAACCAAAACTTGATCTTTCAAGTCCTGAAGTAGAGATTCCCAGTATCCATCCTTCTGGAGAAGATGCTAACATTTCTGTTCCTGCGGTAGACTTGAGTGTACCAAAGGCAGCGGGAGATATTAAAGGACCTGAATTAAATGTGAAAGCTCCAAATGTAGATGCAAATCTTGAAAAGTCAAAATTCCCACATTTCAAGCTTCCAAAGTTACATCTTCCAGGGTCTAACATAAAAGGTCCAGAGGTTGATACCAGTGCAAATCTTGAAGTCTCACCTGTGAAGGTCAAAGCTCCCAGTCATGAAGGAGAAATCAGTTCACCTCATGTTAGTGTCTCTGCTCCTGAAGTGAAGACAAGCCTTAACACACCTGAACTGGATATCACAGCTAAAGCAGATGCTGAAGTTAAAGACTCTCCGAAAAGTAAGCTGAGATGGCCCTTCAAATGGGGATTTAAGTCTGGTTCTGATGAAGAGGGAAGTGGTCCTGAGTCTGAAACTGAGGTGTCTGGTGCTGAGGTGGAGGTTCCTGCATTCAAATTCCACAGACTGCCCAGGAACAGCATTGATGGCATTGGAGGAATTCCTGATACCTTGAGTTTATCAAAACTTGACACAGAGGCAAAGGATTATGTTGTCAGAAAAGGGATCCGCTTGCCAGTAGTAAATGCAACATCAAAAACAGGAGAAAAGATTGACATTATAGAGAGATTGAAAATGGCGAAAGAAAAAGCACCCTCAGCTAATGTCTCACCAACTGAAGCAAAAACTGATATTGATCTGAAGCTTGCTGCCCCAAGTCTTGATATCAGTGCCTCTAAAGAAGATGGAGATTCTTCTTTGGTCAGAGGAGGTACTTTCAAAGTAGAAAAACCAGAGTCTGGACTGGGCCTGGTAACCCCTGAAATTTTGACATCAGATGAAAATGACAAATTGTCATTGAGCCTCTCCAATATGCTTGGTCTTAATATCAATGATTCAGATGCTGACTGATTCCTGCTAGACTAACCTGGTGAATAAAGCTTCAGTCCAGAAGCATTGTAAACACATGTAAACTTTAAACATGTAAACAACTAAACCAATTCAATGCCGTATTTGTGACAATAAAGAGACAAGTAAACTGTTTTATTTACCCATACCACAGTTTTCTGCAGATAATGCCAGCTACAGTATCCTTTTTAGGTAATAACTTCAGGTAGCCTAATGAAGAAACCTGTTTGTATAATGTTTATATTCCTGTTATTTATATAAGCTTTTTTTTCTCAACGTTGATTTGGAAGTTACTTAAGTAACTGCCTCAGTATTGCGAGTGATCACGTTGAACTGTTAAGGTTTCTGAGAAGTGCATTACTTTACCATAACATTTTTAAATGATAAGTGAATTGTGAGTGAATGTATTTGTTAATTTTTTGTTCAATAAATAACTCAATATACTCAGTATGTTTGTGATTCTTGACTAACAAACTTGACATGATAAATAAAGATCAAAATATTATTATTAAAAATCAAAAAGCCTGTTATAACTGTGTATGTTTTTAACAGAAAGATGCCTTTGAGGTTGACGATGTCCTTCATTTTACTTTAAAAATGACAAAAGCTTTTACAGAGATGGATGTGTTTATTTCATACTGAGAAAGGAAGTATAATAAAAAAGAAATCCAATACGTAAAAAAACAACACAAAAATAGGAATGTGAGCATTAAGTTTTAGTTTGCACATTTAACAAATAATGTTTTTGTAGAACGTATTTAGGTCAGTTGGACTAAATTAAGGGGATTTCTATTTAACAATTATTTTAGTTGTTAAAATATCTCACAATCATTTGCTGTGATATCCCACATGGCTCATAGTCATTAAGACACAGCCAATGTGATTATTACTCAAAAGTTACTCATCCTGCCAACAACAGGTTTATGAGTATTATTTCCAAAAATACAACAAAATATTTAATAAAATAAATAAATATTCTGCCATTGCCTTTGTGCTTTGCTTTTTATCCAGACACATGCAGTCAGATGCACATTAACAAGATTAAGAGCCTACAGTCATGGCTCAATGACGCTATACTAATGCCAATGTCAGCATGCTAACATGCAGATAATGCATATAATGCAAATAACATTAACATGCTAATATATAGCAGGTACAATGTTCACCATCTTAATTTAGCGTGTTAGCATGCTAATATTAGCTAATTAGCTTTAGGATGATGGGAATGTCAGTTTTTCAGTTATTTGGTCATAAATCAAAGTATAAAATCAAAGTATAAAATAACAACATTTTTTAATTTTGATTGGATGATGGTTTATTACAATTCATCCTGAGAGGAACATGGATGTCTATATCAAATTTCTTGACAATCTATCTAAACAAACCACAAATGTGAAATCAATTAAATCCTGTGATTCCTGAAGCACACAGTGATGCTTCACTTTTCACTTATTGGTCATTGTTTTATCTTTTTCTTAAGATTGTTTGCTGGAGTGCCTTGGGAGCCAAATGGTTACATTACATGCCAGATAACCACATCGTCATCAGTGTGACTCCATCCCCATGGATGTATTAAAGTAGTACTAGATACAGATTCTTATGGAAGTTGCTTAGTGATGCATTAAGACAAAAAAGTTTGATTTCCCAGTATAAAATTTTGCTTCTGCATTGTGGGGCAAGCACACTAGAGACTTCCGAGCTGGTCCTCTGCTAACTTGAACAGGGATAAAATTATTTAATTGTGCAGGTCTTTTAGACTTTCCAAATGCTATTGAACTGAATGAATCACATTCTGATAGTGATATAGTGTCATTCTGCAGGGGTTGTGAAAAACATGTATCCACTGTTTTATAGCCACAATGTAACCGTATAGGAAAAAGTCATTTTGGGCCGGTGTGCATCATGTGACAGATGGTATTGCTGTGATTACACAGCCACTATGTAAAGCCCAGCACTCTTCATGGGGGCTTAACAACCTTTGTTTCATGTCATGCACCTTTCTCTCTGTCCATTTCCTGTCTGCCTCCCTCACTGTGTCTAATAAAGGTAAAAAAAAAAGAGCACTTCCTAAACACTAGCTACTAAATAGATGTTGGTAAAATGTGAAGAAGAAGAAATCCCTAACAAGTACAACCCTGACAGAAGAGAAAAGAGAGACGGGATAAATATACAGAGAGTCAAACTTGTTAAAGAGTCTGTTGCCAGCGTGACGGCCAGTCTTTCTCTATCCAGGTCTGCAGCAGTCGCAGCACATCAATGCGCTGGTAGATGCGGCAAAGTTCAGTGAGCTCAGTGACCGTCTTCTGGTTGTAGCGCAGCAGGAACTCCTGGGTGGGGCTGTGGGACAAGGAGCCCTGCGTCCGGTGCTCCAGCAGGGTCAGTTCATCGTAGCTCATCCCCCAGCGACTCGCAAAGTTCTTCCAGTTTTTGATGGTGCAGTGGTTTGGATCCAGTTTGAGCCGTAGTAAGTCCAGGAGATCTTTGTCATTCATGAGGTCACTAATCTTGGGAGGAGGGGCTGGGCAGCAGCATTTTTCACAGGGGCTGTTAAGTAACTGCAGTTCTTTGGGGTAGTCTGAGCTCAAAGATGGACAAAGATGATGGAATTAGCTCAAGATGTGTGATCTTTGTAATTCAATTCAATTCAGTTTAATTTTATTTGATAGGCCAATGCATAACAAAGTTATCTCAGGACCTTTTCAAATAGAGCAAGTCCTATGACCGAACTCCTTATAACATTTACAGAGACCCAACAGACCCATGAGCAAGCACTTGCGACGACAAAAACTGCCTTTTAACAGCAGAAACCTAGGACAGATCCCTTCGCTCTAGTGGGTGGTTCCATCTGCCTTGGACCAGTCTTGGGGGAAGAGAGAGAAGAGGGAGAGAGAAGAGGAGGAGGAGAGAAGAGAGACAGAGACAGACAGACAGACAGGTGCACAGCAAACAACAGTAGCAAACAACTACACTCATAGTAGGTGACTGATGATGAACATGGAAGAAGATAATGACGGCGACAATCAGCAACAATGGGGACAATGAGCAGTACGAATAGTAATTAATAGTAAACTGTAGTACATAATAATAGTAATAATTAATAATACATAACAATAATATCAGTGATATTAGCAATGGCAGTCAAGTAGGACAATGGTAGGAGGCTCCACCAGGATCCATGAGAACCTGCGAGTGTAAGTGTACATTGTGTACATTGTGTACATGCAAACCACAGTATATGAACATCAAATGTACAAGGCATACTAATAATAGTAACTAATCTTTAGTTAGAGACTATCTGCCTCCTGGTGGCCATCAGAAAGTATGGCCATTTTGGGTGTACTATCATAAGAAATGATTTACCTGGTAAAATTGATGTTGGGCACAAGCATTCGACATCTTCAACCGGCTACAACACAGAGAAATACAAGCGATTACTGTAGTTACATCGCATTAATGTTCTGATTCTGTCATTTTCATTCAAATGCTCAAACTCGGTTGCAAACAGACATTAGAAACAGTCACCATTGTCCTCTCACATTTAAGGCTTTACACCAAAAAGTAGTAGTATTAGCATCAACAAATCATCTATTATATCATTGTATTATATATATTATTTTACATAACAATAAACATATATATAGTATCATGATATATACATCTAACATACTCATGTTTAGAACTTTCACCATCTTATTTAGTGTGTTAGAGGAAAAGTCAGGGCATCACCAACAATTCCTTTTTTAAAGATCAGTGTGCATCTAGTGGTGAAGTTGCAGATTACAACCATCTGAATACAGCTTAGCCTTCCAAGTGTGTAGGAGAAACTACGAAAAACTCGTGAAAAACGTGACAGACCCTATCTAGAGCCAGTGTTTGGTTTGTCCATTCTGGGCTACTGTACTGAAACATGATGGTTCAACAGGCTGACCTCTGTAGAAGAGGACCCACTACCTCTGTAGATAAAAACGTCTCATTCTAAGGTAACAAAAACACAAATTCTTATTTTCAGGTGATTATACACTACACCTATGAATATTATATTTAATTTCTGACAATAGATCCTCCTACATTTTACAAACTGGACCACGAAGGACCATGAATGTCTGTGCAAAATTTCATCGCAATCCATCCAATAGTTGTGGAGACTTCAGTCTGGACCATGGTGGTGGACTGACACTGCCATCCCTACAGCGATGTCTCTGGCATGGCTAAAAAGTACAAGTTAGGCTACTCAACATTACAGCATTGCTCACATTGCCCAATACAATGTTTAAGTGAGTGGGCCAAGGGTGCTGCCAGGTTTAATATATCATTGTTCATTTATTGTGTTTTTAAAAACATTTCACCACAGTCTTCAGCTTTTGTCTCAGTCCTAGCGTGATGCTGTTGAATCAAACAACCCTTTGAAATATACCATCCATCCATCTTACTGTCCTTTCTTTTTAAAGCAGGTTTGTTATATCAGGCACTCAGTGGCCTAACGTCATTGTCACCTTCCAGTCAGCGGAAGTGTGTGAACTGTGAATGTGGCACACTATAAGGCCAGACAGAGAATCTAGACACTATACATGGAGGGGTGTATACATTTTGCTAGAGATGACTGGACAGGCTGGAATAGACAATTTGTTTTTAAATTTCCACTACTAACTCTTCTTGTATGGTTATTTTCAACAACGCTGAAAGCTTCATATGACGTTAACACTCTTTCTGCCTGCTCTGTTATTAGCAATACTCACAGCTGCACCTTCAAGTTCAGTGGGAGAAAACCACATCCTGTATGTTCACAGCCTAAATTAGAAAGTACTCACAGAGTACAAAGTGTGTAAGCAATACTTCTGGCAGGGTAGGAAAAAACTGATCTACATGTGCTAGTTTTAACAATAGAACTGTTTCATTAAGTTATCCATTAACGTTGACAATTTTATTGAATTGACTTTTAGGAAAAATATCAAATTCTTCCTCTTAAAGGGTATTTACAGCAGAGTCCTGCAGGGGTCCAGTTTTGCAAACCCGCATCTGCCCGCAGAGCTCAGAACAGGAACCAACTTGCAATTATTAATGTAACATGTAGAAACACAAATTAAAATCCTAATTAACGGTTAAGATGAATCAATCACCAACTGCTGCCGTGTCCACACGATTAGCGGGGCGCAGGTGTCAGAAAAGTTCTGTTAACTTGCGCTGCAGCGGGAGGGCTGCCCTCCCTCCCAATATCATCCATCTGCAGCCACAAATGGTCGTTTCTCGTCTGTGGGGTTCCCGTTTTGCTGATTGGACGCCCCCAAAAGTTTATTCTTCGCTTTCTTGCTTGAACGTTGTTAACTTTGTCAATTCCGGTTAATATACATTTTCGCGTTTATGTAGTGTTTCTCAACAGAAGTTTCAATATAATCTTAGTAGTCTGGTAAATGTAATTATATGAACTAACGTAGCAAGCTAAGCCATTACAGTAATGTTAGTCAATTACATCTTAATATGCTTTACATTTACGTGTAGGAACTAGTATATATTTTCTACGATTGTTGAGGCGGAATTCATACTTTGCACATGACGTTCACCAACTACTGGTGGCGGCAAGAACATTCGTCTCCAGCTAACGAATCCCAGGAATACTAATCATAGGTACTTGCCAGGACGTCGGTGTTTGCCTGGATATCATTCTAGCCTTGCGCTTGCTTCACCTCCCAATGGTAAAATTAATAAACATTGCTTGTTTATATTTCATGTTCTGGTGTTGTAATTAATTCTATGATGGTTTTTGCAACATGGTCATCCATCTAATCTATAAATGTCTTTTATTCTTTGTATGTGTTATACGTCGTACTACGTACTGTAACGGTAAAAACCAAGGCAATATTTATTTTCCTTCATGTGATTTGAGCTATAACTACGCTGTAATATTCAGTTCTGGTAAGGATTTTTGTCAAACTAAATAGAATCAAAATAAAGATCACTGTGATTGTTTTCTGACTTCAAGTTACGTCTATTATATGATCTCTTCACGTCGAACGTGACTGAATAATGACGATGAAAGTCGGCGTTTCTGTGGCCCGCCTGAGGGTATCCATGGTAACCACGTGGACTGCAAAGTATGATTAACGATTGGTCGATGAACGCTACCAGGAACGCCCAATAGGCGTTCTTGTGTCATGATGGAACGCCCCAATGAAGCCGCAGCTGGACCCTTCTCATCACAGGTGGCTGTTTTCAGCATTGACATATATTGGACAGAGCTTCCGGGTCTGAAAAATGAAGCCAACACGGAAGTATCTTAAAACCTGCATTCTATGTAAAGGCCAACAGGAGGAGCTCCATTAGCTGCAATAACACATTTCCATTCACTCTAATGGAGAATGAGCCGACCGGAATGAGTGGGTTAGTGACAAAATGTGTGGACAAAATTAAGCTGAAACTAAACTTTATTTGTCAATAATGTTCAAAAACAGTTTGCACATGCATCAAAGGGGGTTACTGACCTGTCTTATTCTGTCTGAGGAGGGGTATCCAGATGGCATTGAGCTAAGGTGGAGTGTCACAGCATCTGTCGGAGACATATTACTGACATCAGTATATTCTGAATAAACCACTGCAACCACTGACAAATATGCTTACACATTTTTTCCAGTAAGAGAAGGAATTTCAAAATGTATGTACTATAAATTCCTTAATAGTGGCCAGGTCTAAATTGACCTCAACAGCAGAGACATCAAGGCCTTTATTTGGTACAGGCTTAAATTAGATCTCCATAGCACACATTTCATCCAATTCAATCAGTGTATGTCACACCTATTTAAGCATCTATTCCCAGTTTTAACTTTCTATTTTAGTTATTTTATCTCATTTGGATTTTAATTGTTTTTTGGGTCTGATGTACCTTGTTTGTTTTTGTCATTTACGTGACCTGGCTGCTGTAACACCCTGTTCACATAAACCGCCTGAGCATAAGTGGCGTCTAAGGCGTGTGACGGCTGGATCTCCCAGGTTTGCGGCGTTCACATCGAGAGAGTGTCAGCTGTGACCTGCCCTATGTTTCCACATACACTTTCCCCTGTATAATGCCCATATTAAATCTAAATGTTCATGTCATTTAATTAACGATGCCCTACAGTTTAAACGTAAATGTTAAGAGTGCTAACCAGAAAGCACCAGCGGTTTGTTTACCGAGAGAGAGAGAGAGAGAGAGAGAGAGAGCGCAGTGGAAAGATACTGCCCTTCAGCCGGCTCACTTCCGGAAATTCTTTCACAAGTGAAGTTGTGTTAAATAAAAGATTACTAAAGTGCTTTTACTTTGAAAAGGAAGTTTAAACTGTACTGAAATACTTGATATATGACTACCAACAGATCCTTTCACTGTGCTGTTTTGCTGGGAGCCACGTGTGACTTGCGGAAAAAAGAGGACCTCAACTCTCTAGTGAAGCGTCACTGCAGACGTATGTCTTACTCTGATCTGTTAACATCGTCGCCAAAGTAAAAACCAATCGTGGGCGGTGTGAACAAGCCATAACACATCGATCTTTCTGTCTATCACTTTTTTCCTTTAGTTACTTCTGTATTTTAAAAAAAAATCACTGTCAATAATAATGAGTGCCTGCACAAATGTCATTTCCACAAATAATTTCCTATTCTAATATTATTCATACTGGTTTAAATAAACAATTTGATAGTATCTGTACAAAAGGAATTAAAGGCCTGTCGCCTACAGAGGCCTGTTCCAAATAAAGGCAGGTTGAGTTCAGTGACTGAAGCAAATAAAAGGCTACGCTATTAACTGAAGTTTTACATCTCATTGGCCATAAAAGGTGACAAATTTACAATATGTATGAATAGTATAATTGAAATAGTATGTCCACATATGCTTTGTAAAATGGACTATTGTGGTTCGTCTCAGTTATTTACCATGGGGATCTGTCACCTGCACTGGATAATTGGCCTCCAAGGACTGTGGGAGAGACAAGGGCAGACAAGATCATATTAGAAAGTAAAATAAATAAACCTGTGAAACACAAGTTTGATCTGCTCTGTTAACCCTCTTCTTAGGAGATTTGTATTCAATCTGTTCATGAGACTGAGGCAACATTCAAGATGTAGTCTTCAACTATGGAAGAAAATGACTCCATCGTGTGCCTGCTACAACCTGTTCTTCAATTAGCCCTTGGGCGCTAGCAATCACAGCACAGTATGTTTGGTTATGGTACATTTCTTAGCAGATTACTGCAAGACTCTGCTTTCTGAGAAAAAACAATGGGAAATCAGCACAAGGCAAACTGGATAGTAGACAAGTCAAGACAATGAGACAGTTAAACAAACACATGTACTGTAAAGGTACTCACAATTTCAAAGCTGGTGGTGTCTGTGTCCTCCACAGGTTCAGAGCTGATTCTGTCTGTTACAAAAATGAAGAGGCTTCAGTATAGCGAATATATTCTTTTAGCTGTACTCACTCATCCCCTTCCTACATGTCACTAGTTTCAACCGCAGAGATGCACAAAAAAACCACATCCTTCTGCCAACGAGTACATTCTAGAGAGTATGAGGTAGTCTGGACATGTTAATGTAGACAGTAAAACTGGGTGGTAATGACACACCATGAGCATTTAAATAAGGTAAACTGTTTTCATAGTCATGACTCTGTTTTAATGTAAGCTACATCGGTCTTGCCAAATAACAAAAACATGTTAAGTGTTAGTTTAGGTATGTTTACCCTGCATTTCATTACTGACTAAAGCTAACCAGCTCGTAATAGTGCATGAAAGTTTCCTAGAAAGAATGAAAATACTGTTCAGCATCAACATGGACAACTCCCAAATCAAATGCCTCCAGCACTGATAAGGAATATTTTCAACCAGCACATTCAAGGATGAGTTGGGTGAGCACCACAAAGGAAGCTTTTCAGCTCCAGAAAATACCTTGCCAGGCCTATGTGGGCCTTCATCAGTCTACGTCACTATAAAGCCATTGTATCCAAAGGGCTCCAAATAAAGAAACTGCTCTGGCCTTTCTTGGGTTACACTCTCTGACGATGAAACTTTAATTTGCATGGGAAACTAGAATTAGGATTAAGTGATTAGGTGGAAGCAGGCTGTTTTCTACATGCAGCTTCCAAGGTCTTGTTCATCTGAGAGAAAGTAGTCATGTATGTAGGTCACAGACAGAGTTTCACCAGTCAAGACTTAGTAAAACACTCATTTTAGCCTGATGTTATATGACACATTGTGTGGATTCTGGCACAGTAGTCTAATAGTCATAAACAATAACACCAGTTGCACATATTAGATACTATTTTGTCTCGTTTAGATTTATCTTTCTATTTATTACTTTAATTCCTTAAAACTTTACATAAAGTCCTCCTCCAGTTAAAAATACGTCACAAAAAGTTTGGAAGTAGGGCTGCACAATAGATGCCTCATATTGTGATTATTCTGATATTGTGATATGAGTCATGATAAGGAGACTGGGAATGATCTTCTTTGCATCACAATTTAAATTTTAATTGGAAAATTCACTGTTAAACATTTGTTGGGGCCTGTACCAAACAATCTGGAGAACAAGATTTGTAGGCCAGGACTACAGTAGCCATCACTACAGTACTTCATTGTAATGTTGTTAGTCACACATCTTATCTTTACCAACACATTACAGCTTCTGCGATTTGGATATTGCAGATATATATCTATAGATATAGATATATATAAGATTTTAGCAAGAATATCTCTAATACAGTCCCACTGTGAGGTAAATAGTACTGCCCATGTGAATCAAAACTGCTCATTAAAAAAAAGAACATTGCTCCACAGCCCTACTAGTGGTTAAAAACTTTAATGGGTAAGTCTGGTGACTGGTTTCTATTGTTAACAAATCCCATTAGAAAACCCAAGCCAACAACGAATGTATCCTAACAGGTATTGCCATGTGTATCCAAAGCCTGATCTATCTTGCCCCGGACATAGAGCTCTATTGTTGTCCAAAAAAACACATCAGTGAACCACATGCATTGGGTGACATGTTCCTTTATTACCATGAATACACACTGTAGTTTATTTGGACTCAATCCCACATACACAGTCCTGCTGTGCCAAATACTAGATCAACAAATTAATCCACAGCTGAAAATAGTCCTCAACAAATGCACTATTTACTCTTGAATACTTAAAAAGAAAGCATACATTCATGACAAGATGTCTTTAGTAGGAACCAATGGGCTAGGAGCTCAGAGTTCATAGAGCCAAAAATATAGAATAACACAAGTCATATACTATACTTTAACTCAGTGGCTGTCAATGTCCCTGTATTGTGCAGTATATTAGAAATAATGTGGTGACAAAAAGAGCCAAGGTGGAGTGATGAGGACAAACTTATGTTGATGGATGAATATGAAGAAAACATGAAGAGTACAGACAGATGTTATACCCTCCAGTCTGAAGTAATACATTGGCAAAAAAATTATGAATGGCATTATGCATTTCTTTTTTCCTGTGTGAAATGAAAACACTCGTCTAGAGAAGCAAAGTAAGAGAACCACTTCAGAAAACACCTTTTAACAAGGTTATGTATCTGGGCATTTACATGTTCTACGATTTAAGAGGACATAGATAAAACTTAAACTGTCTCATATTAAGCAATACAAATGTAAATTGTTGTACAACAACAACAACTCGTTTGGACAAAGACAAAAATAACTTAAGAAATGCTTATTAATTTAATTCCTGTAGGAATGTCTATAATCCTCCAAGACCAAAGACCAAAGCAGCCAAACTCAAAAAATGTTTTCTTAGACAGGCTGCTACAGATCCCAATTCACTGATTCCTGCATTTGTTACTCAAATACAACCACATCCACAGAAAGTAAAAGTCCATAGCTCAGTAGTTTAAAGAACAGATGAGATACAATACAGTAATCAAAGGATAAAATGATAATAATAGGTAATTAAACATTTTTAGCCCTTAGTAACTTTGACAAGCTTCGCACATACATGAGCACTTGTCCATAATTACAATACTGCTTCAAACCCACACACACACACACACACACACACACACACACACACAGTCCTTTTTGGTAACATCAAATATACATTATTTTCTGTTGCTGCTGAATGTGTGTTATGTCCCAAGGCATGCAGCTATAGCGGTCCAATCAGCTGACTCTGCCGGAGTGGGACCAATACAGCATCCCATACAGACAGAGGACAGTTTGACAACAGGGAATACAGCACCACGTTTTTTTTTTGCCAGGTTTGGCTCCTGGTATCCTGACGCTGAGTCAGCTAACATTAGCTGCACAAGCTAACTAGCTTACAGCAGCTAACATTACTGTTAATCCATGTCATTATTGGTTAAAATTGGTTGGTTATGTAAGCACACAACACATTTTGTTTCACAGGAAGACAAAATAATTGGATTGAAATATAAAAATACAAAGAAATTGTAAACTTTTTGGCATACAATGTTAAAAATGCATTTTCCATTTCATCTGGACTTTATTTGAACCCTAATCATAACCACTATTAATCTAAGCCTAATCTTAACTCTTACTGAAATGTAAGACACTGATATGTGTCCCAGTAGTCTGGCCCACACACCCACACTTACACGCACACACACACACACACACACACACACACACACACATACATTAAATATAAACTCCCCTGTACAAAGTTTGACGTCAAAACCCATGACTGCAAAAACGCCCCAACAGCATATTATCATAAGCCTTATATAATCAATGATAACTCATTCTATAAGGCTGCACTTCCTGTTACCTGCCAGTAACCACATCTCTAAATTATTTATTATTTGTACTTCAACTGTTGTGCCTTGCACTTTTGGTAAATTTCTCATTATGGAATTAAATGTTTTCACTTGTTAATTTCTAAACAACAAAGGGCCAGAGGTGACAGTCAGTGCAATCCATTAGACGGGTAATGGAAGGTAAATCCCCATCACCACAACCAGCCCACACAAAGACAACTAGGAAATGTTGACATGTTGCACTTTGCTTCCATATTGCTTTCAGTCTCTCTATTTCTAGAAAGTTATTTGGTTATTGAGTATTTGAGTGTGGAATCAATCATTCTTCATAAAGACGTGTTAAACATGATACGAGTTCCCTTAATTTTTAATTTTTGTATCATCCTGCTATAGCATTTATTAAAACCACCCTTATTATTATTATAATTTTCGTGGCCAGAAAAAGCTTTACACATTGTTCTATATAATATCACACCACAAGTCTTGTGGGTTAGTGCCAGAGAAAGATCTTTAAAGGACTCCAGATGCCATTTGCTTTGCATTTTCATATAATTTATGGTAAATTGCCTTTACCTGACATCATTGCTGACCATTTTTCAAACATTTCAGTTTGGTCAGAATAAGGCATGGTATTGAACCAAGATGTTTTCTCTTTTCTTCCCGGCTTCAGTAAGAGTTTTACTATGTTATAGATATTTTGATCTTATTGGTTGAAATGTGCCTGTGATAGGTGGATGTTCACCTAAGGACCTGCTAAGTATTTTTTGCAAGTGCCTGCACTTTTCCAAACTGTTTCCAAGGACAACTTCCTAGATGGTTCTGTGTAACAAAATATCTGGCTCAGTCAGGTTACATGATCTCAAAATGCCAGATAATCTTCCTGATTCATTGGCTTTCACTACTAGGGGCAAAGGCCTGGATGATGTAAGCCCCTTTTGCTACCTTGCAAACTGAACAAACTAAAATTTCCTCACCTGGACCAGGACTATAATTATTGGTACATAGAAGCAAAGATAAAAACTTAAGGGCTGCAATCAATAGAAATTTCTCTAAAAATTTCTCTATAATCGATTAATTGTTTGGTTTATAACATATCAGGCCAGAAACAGGTTAAAACCCAGTTTTCCTAATCCTGAAACCTGATTAATTTGCTTGAAAAATTACTTAAATGATTATCAAAATTGTCTTAGGTTTTTTGTCGAGTGACTTATCGTTTCAGTTCTGAAAACTGTCCTTACAACTCACCATACTATCTATTACACGTCAGGTGAGAACCTTGACTTTGTGAATAACTTGCAGTAGAAAAGCCACAGACTCTCTAATCCCAAAAGTCCTTGAACACACCAAAAGAGAGTTTTCAGAAACTGTCCAAGCTTGCAATAGCATTACCACATTTCTAATTAATACGCTCAAATGTGAAATACGGTGTATATGGGTATATGAGTGATATTCCCCTTTAAGTATAGTGCAGCAAGTATTACGAATACAGCCAGTCACCCAATTATCAAGTGTAAGTCGAACCCCAGATCAGTTGAGCATTGTTTCTCCCTCTCTGGGAATGCAGGGACATGTAACTGCATGCTCTGGATAAAGTTCAAGAGATGAAATATAAACCACATCATAATACATTGCTTAGGGCCATAATTCCACACAGGTGAACCCAGCTTTTCTGCATTTTGACCACCCATGTCTCCTATGAAAGAATAAAGTACAGTTTCTTAGCAGTCTGTGTAGTGGGGCATTTGCTTTATCATAAGTCTGTTTCCACACATGAATGGAGGTGAATGGCATGCCAATACCTGACCCAGGCCACAGTGAAGTCTAGACTGAGAGCATCTATGTACACACACCTTGTACAAACGCTCTGCTACATGTTTATCATGGCTGACAGTGGGTGGTAAGTGTGTCTCTTTCACTGTGTGTGTGTGTGTGTGCCTGAGCTGAATAGGATTAGACTGGTAACTCTTTAATGACATATCAGCCAATCAGAAATGGATGTTTCTCCCTGATCACTCACATGAAAGCATTCAGCAAAAACCTGACATGTACTTTTTATCAGTACTGTACTATCACAGAATACCACTGAATAGGTGCAGTGGGTAACTTGACTTTAAGGGAATACATCAGAATTTTTGGAAATATGCTGTTTCAGAGAGTTAGAGGACAACTTTGATACCTTTATTATCTCTGTGTGTAAAGTACAGAGCTGGGGCCTTATTTATAGAATGCATTTCAGATACATTTTGGTATGACTTAAGCAGACAAATACATATATAAGTAGTTATTTATAAAACCTTACTTTGACACCGAAATGATCTTAATTCTAAGACATCTTAGTTAGACATATCTAACATCTAGACATGATGGAAGTGATTTTCCTGCTGGTTATGTCAGGTTAATGATGCATTAGCTTTATGAACATGGGTGGCTGTGGCTCAGAGGCAGAGGTCAATCATGACCATTAAATAAGCTATTTTACTATAAATCACAGTTTATTGCTCTATTCTATATAAAAATATATTTTTCTGCATACTGCCATAAAATACGGTGTAAAATAATCTGATAACTATCCTGTTCAGCCACTGTCAGTAATCAATGCATACACATTATGATTTAAGTATGATAAAGACAGCTGTATAAATCCTGTAATGGCAGAACAATTGAAAATATACGTAGCAGTGAAAAGCTCCCTGTGCTTTAACAATTCCTAATGTCAGTAAAAACATGTAACTCTAGAAATACAAGCTAAAGGGCGTCATATGTTGTAATTTGAGATTCACAGATCGCAGGTAAGTAAATTACAAATGGGCTTCTTACAACCTGCTTAATAAAGCTCAGAATCTTTTATGAATCAAACGTAAGCACGTTGAGAACGTGGATAGCTTAGCTGAAAAGACTCCAGACGGGAGTAAACAGCTAGCCTGGCTGTGTCCAAAGTTTGTATCTATTTTAATCTGTATAAGGAGAAACATAAAAATGCCAACTTGTGGTTTAAGGTGGAGTTACATACTATAACTATGTCAGGTTGGTACCATCATGCCTGTACCAAAAGCAAAACCTGTGTTCCCTAACGGTACAGTGAAAAAAGTCTTTCCAGGATGTAACTCTAAAACTCAAAACTGAATGTACGTTTTTACAGTTTTTTTCTCTTTTAGCAACATTTTCATCCCTGTTATAATCCCCTAAACAAGATGTGAAAGTTTTTTTTTTCCTAAGAGAAATAGTCCCTGTGAAATCAGAGTAGGCAGAGATTAATGTTGCTGTTGTTGTATTTATAACAATGAGAAAGTTCTATTGAGCTCCACATTAAACCAAAGATATTTTTACCCATATTAGTCAAACGAAAAGTCAAGCTCAACAGTTTCCAGCCACTGTGCTGATAATGTCAACTGGGTGGAAAACGGATCTCAGAGTTATAGAGGCCTGGATACTTGAGAGTTTTTTTCTTTTTGTTTCATGGCAGGTTGTGTTAAAGCATTTGGTTAATGATTAATCTTCTGGTATAATCTGATCATAATCTTGTAAATCTACAGAAATGACATCTGATTGGCCCACTATAGTTCCACTGTCACAGCTGCAAAGCCACATATGCCATCAGTGTGAATGCGTCAGTATGTGTTACCTTTACAGCTGGGGTTTATGTTGCATTTAAATTTCTCAGCACGGGTACAAATGTGTAAAAACAAGACTAAAATTATTAAAAACATCAAATATTTAATATATAAACAGATACAAGACATAGCTTGGCCTATCATACCATTCTTTTCATTGTTCAAAATTTTAGTCGCTTTATAATAATTATAAAACATGTGTTGCTGCATTAAGCTTTTCATATGATAAAGAAAAGAAATTCAATGAAGTTACAACTGAGCATCGACACTTTGAACAACCACTTTGGTTTAGCTTTCAGATGTACTCAAGATCTGCTATAAGCTATAATTCAGCAAAGGTAAAGGGAACTACAGTGTGTACTCTGATCCTATAGGATTGCAGACAAACAGCCATTAACCCGCAGTGTGACTAAACACATGTTCATGTGTCAAACACATGCGTGTGAAAGTGGTTTAGGTAATTCTACAGGCACGAAAAACAAACTTGGTTACACGTACATCATATAGTCAGGTATCCTAAAATTCACTCATGAATTTATAAAAATGTAACTAAAGGGCGATAGAGGAATTTTCCATCACAATTACTTACAGTATGTAGCAGTGTAGACAAGGTTTTGAAACCTTTAAATGAAGTTAAATAAATAAAGTTTTCTCCACACACAGTCACAACAAAGAAAAACACAGCTGTAATCTGTCGATTTGTGCAAGTAACGTAAATGTCATGCTGTGGGGAAATTTGATATTTTTACGTCTGTATTGACACAGTACTTTACAGTTGGCAGACTGTAAAATCCCTTTATTTAGCCTCCTCCATCATGACACCTGCTCTAGTTTGAGGGTTCTCTTACATCATTGAGTAAACTGACCAAGCTACATATTTTATATATATTTCATTTTATATTCAAACAGTAGAGAACAATTGATGGACCCAAACAGTGAACACTAACTGCAGGAAGTTTGTGTAAAACCAGAGATTAGTAGGAATTTTGAGCAGATTATTTTCTATGAGATTCATTTTCATGATATTAGGATTTTTTTTGTCAATTATTTGTCTGTATTATGTAATATGTATATGTAACAACCAAACAGGCTTCTGACAAACTCAGTGTGTTCTTCTCATTGTTCTACTAGCTCTTTGGTTGTTTTAACTGTGTATGTTTCTAATGCAGGATGAGACTTTCTCAGAAGGTGAAGGCTCTGTGAATATAGCTCTTGTTCAGGTGATTGATCTTGATTCAATGATTATGTAAACTTAAATAAGAACAATTTCATATAGTTTTTTCCCCCCACAGAATAGAAGAGATATAGGTCTACTGTATATATATATATTTTAAGTTTTCTTTCACCCCTTAAAATCAAGAAGGCCTTGTGACTGCCTTCCAATTAGCCCTCTGTTTCTTTCCACAGTGAATAGACTGTAGTTACATAGCACCATTCAAGTCTTCCAACAAGTCAAAGTGCTGTTACACTACATGCTACATTCACTAGTTCACACATATTCACAACAGAATCTAATTCATTCATTCACATTCAGTATCTTGCTCAAGGACACTTCGACATGCAGCTGCCCTGGATCGAAATCAACAACCTTCTAATTAGTGGATGACCTGCTGTACCTCCTGATCCACAGCCGCCCAACAGTCTTTCCAACAATCACCACATCTGGTTTGGTAAAAATAAACCGAAAATTCACAGAGTTACTTGCAATGAAGGCAACATAAGCTAATCCGCTATTGCTCGCTACCAGACACCATAGACAAAAACGCTAATTTTAGCTGGGGTATCATAACATCGTAAACAAAATGGACGGAAACAACATAAAACTCACAAGAACAGTGTTTGCTAGTCTTTCCACTGTTCTAACAATCACAAACTCTGGTTGGGTGGAAATAAACAGTAGATGAGAAAAACTGCGGTTTGAGCCGCTCTACTTGGCTTTAAACGGAGAACTTACATGCACTAACAGGGACGCATGGCCAGACTGGCTTTACAAACAAACCAGAGAGTGGTTGCCAAAGCAACACAAGCAGAGGGGACTGTGACGTTGTTCTCTGCTTTATCAGTGTTAATCTCATAACCTTAAAGACAAGTTATCTGCTATGATAAATGTTAATAAATTCATACATGGTTCTTATAATGCAAAATGTCATAATGGAGGCGGTTTATCACCAGCAATAGGGATTTTTTACAACCTGGCAACCTTATCTATTGTTTCCAACTGCACTACACGCGTATAAACCCTTATAATGTGTGTCTTATGGACTATTATTATGTTAGAGGTTATTCTAGTTTGTAGACAGAAAAATAAGAGTTTTTTGAAGATAAGGAGCTCTTATGTTGAGTTAATGTGAACAGACCTATAAAAAGAGCACTGACTATGTTACAGCACATCAACCGCTGACACTGAGAGGAATGAGGCAAAAGACAAACTGCATTCTGATTACAATTTGCTCCAACACATTAATACTTACACTAACCAATAATTAGTGGATGAAGATCACTCTTTTATAAACAGGTTAAAATGGAAAACAAATGCCACTGTGCAACAGGTAACGGGTTTTCCATTATTAGTGAGGGAATTTTTATACTGTGGTTGTGGTTGTAGACGGATACCCAGGAAACACTTGTCTGATTTCCCCCAAACTAACGGTGCTAAAGTGAGTTTTTAAAATAATTTAAAAGGTAAATGTAGGCTACTCCCTATCAAATAAAAACTCTGAAATGGTAAAATTGTTTATTTAGGTTGTTAAAACAAAAACAATAATAAGACAGTGCAAGAAAAAATTAGGAGGTCTCAAAGTTGTAGTTTGCAAAGTTAATTGAGATAATGTAAAAGAAATGAAGAGCGGCTTGGGATGAACAGTTAACACTATTATACTGTATGAGTATCGACCAAATGTCCACACAGAGGCAAAGACACTTGAATTTATACTTACCAAAAGGCTCCTTATACGCCCTCAAACTACTCATTGTAGAAGCTGTGGAGTCTCCCATGCAGGGAAATGTATGAGTATGACTGATATAAACTGTCTATGTAACGTTAACAGATCAAAAAGAGACGATAATCCTTCACACGGAGCTCAGACAAAGCGCTAATGCCAGCCCGGTGGCGGCGGCTCAGACTGATGAGATACCTCAGTGTAAAGGTACCAGGATCACTGTTGCCTTCATGGTCTGCTCGTAAATTCAACACTCAGTTTCAGAAGTTGTTATTGGTTGTTTGTCTGTAGATACTTTCGTTGAACGATATAACTTTTCTAATATTACAGTAAAAGGATATTAGCACTGATGATTTTCCGGTTAAAGTTGGAGTTTTATTCCATATTTGTAAGTTTTTATCATAAAAAGAAACAGGTTTCTATATGAAAATGCCCTATTAATGCTGGTGAGATATGACGTGGACGACTTTGTTACTTATAAACTCTTAAAATAAACTGTTAAAATGCTGTATAAGTAAAGGTTCTGCCATGAGATATGATGGTCTTTCACTGTTACAGAAGCTGTATTTAACTTATTTAGAGTTTATGGTATTTTACTGTCATGGTTAAACAGTTGAGTTTTCAACTCAAAATCTACAGACATTTTTTACAGTGTAGGCAAAATTTTGGCGATGGGAAAACTGGCATGGCCATTTTCAAAGTTATTATTTGACCTCTGACCTCAAGATATCTGAATGAAAATGGACATAAAAATTACTAGAATTGCATAAATTGGGAGTGACAGAAAGCTGAGACACAGACTTCATGGGAGATGAAGATTATAACTATGATGTTTTATGATGATAATACTACTACTACTACTACCCCTACCACCACCACTACCACCACCACCACTACCACTACCACCACCACTACTACTACCACCACCACTACTACTACCACTACCAGTGTCAAGTCAGTCAAGTCAAGCAGGACCATGGCAGCAGGTTCCACCAGGATCCATGAGAACCTGCCATATGAGAAAGCCCAAGAACTCTGGGGAAGAAGTGAAGTTACTAACATGCATTAATGGGACATGAATGTGTACTGGGAGGGGGAAAGGAAGAGAAGAGCTTAGTGCATCATGGCAAGTCCCCCGGCAGTCTAGGCCTATAGCAGCATAACTAATCAAAAGTGTTGAGTAGTTCTATTATAAACCCACTATTACAACCCACTCTCAGCCACACCTGTTCCCAGCCCCTTCATATAGCCCCTCAGATCCTCTACCCACTCACCTAAACCAGAGTCTCATTCACACACACATACAATAAAAACAATATAAAACCAAAAACTACACTAACAAGGAAAATACAACTGTATACTTGCAAACTGCGCATACTACAAATAAGTGAAGCAGAGAATTATATTTCTCAAATCAAATCAAGTTTATTTGTATAGCCTACAAATAAGGCTCAAAAGGTACCCAAGGGCTTGTACAACAAAGCATAAAACATACATTAACACATAACATAACATACAAAACAATTACAAGTGCTGTAGTGCCGCAGCGCTAAAACAGGGTATTCAAAAGCTTCCAGAAATGGCATAGAAAGGGAGCAGCACAGAAGGAGGACACCTAAGAGACAGTATGCCCTAAGTCAGAATTGAATGCCGATTTAAAAAGTGGTTCTTAAGCTTCGATTTACAAAAAGCTGAGTCAGTAGTGGTGGCGAATGGTAGGGGGCAGGCTTTGTTCCACATCTTGAAGCGCGAGGAAAAGAACGATCGCCCACTGTTATAAGTCTCGACCTAGGGACTCTAACAGAAGCTGACCCGAGGAGGCGGGTCTGCCACAATTCTGTGAAAAGTTAAAATCTCTGACAAGGTAAGAGGGGGCCAAGCCTTAATGGCGTTAAAATAAACAGCAGGGTTTAAAATCAAATCCTAAAACGGACTGAGAAGCCAGTGGGTTGACGACACACAGGTATTGTGTTTCGCGTCTGGACGTGCTTGGTTAAGAGAATGGGACAGACAGCGTTCTGCACAAGTTGGAGACGAGAAATTGAGGACCACTGAGGCCAACGTAAGGGCATTGCAAGTAGTCCAGTCTTGAACTTAATGAAAGCAATGGATTGCGCTTCTTGAGATCCTGCCGACTGAGAAAAACTTCACTTTGGCCAAAAGACGGAGCTGAAAAAGCTTGTGCTGGACAACAGAGCTAATCTGGTTTTGTCCAATTCTTAGCCCATTCATTCCAAATGCTCTACCCAAGATTCTTGACATGTGAGATTGCACAAAATCCTTCATCCAGAAAAATTAAGATTAACTATTGCATTGGAACGGGAAACACACTTTTTTTAAAGGATCTCCACCTCCAACCATTGCCAAAAGACAATGAACACAGTTCTGCACAAAATACTGGACAGTATAACTTATCAGAACTTGAGAACCCAGGACATTACCTATTTTTGTTTGTATGTGCATGACTAAGGCTGTATTTATTATATTATGATGAAATTTGGTTAATTTGGAGAAAAGTCGAGGGTGCTGCGTAAAGTGGGATCCCCGTTTCCCCCCTAGTCCATTCCATTTAGGGAGACGAGGAGGTGAACTATCCCCCACCTCACCTCCTTCCGTCCCTTTCCTCTTCCTTTCTCACACAAGCTATTGTGCACGTCATTTCTCAGCAAAGCGGGGCGCTTTGCAGCTGATAGGGGACGCATTAGCCAATTACTCCACCAGTGATATATAAACAGATAGATAATAGAAAGGATTTTTTTTTTGCTATTTTCTGGGCCATTTATTGATAGGGCCCAGAGCGAAGATAGAAGGAACGGGTTTAGAGAGAGAGAGGGGTGACAACGCAGCAAAGGGCTGCAGGTCGGTATTCAAACCTTGGGCCGTGCAGCAACTCAGTATATGGGTCCAGCACTACAGAACTGACTAACCGACTCCCCAACGGATTTTGTTACGTGCTTGTAGTGCCGCCCCATGTGTCATGAAAAAATGCCCAATGTGACAAGTGATGACATGTATAGCCGCATGTTGTCAATTCCACCGCTGGCCTGTCGAGGTGCGTGTCAGAAAACAAATGTGGGGCTCATTGATAACTGGCAGCCTTTTGGGAAAACCTGGTCTGATTTGGATGGAGCCGCTCTCTTATCTAGAAAATATGACAAGTTTATTTCTAAAACCTGACACACAGGTTGGGACCAGGAAGCAGAGCTGCTGTCTTACACACTTCTCTGCTCTTCCAACTAGAACCAGTCACTCACACCAAAACACTAACCACCTAAATTATTTAAAGTAAAACAAGAGGAGTTAACATGAAACTAATAAAAATTAAAACTACTCCTCAGTAGCACACATAAAAGATGAAAATGTGGACTGTTAAATACACAGTCTCTGGTCTCTAAGTGTTTTAGTAAATGACTTAATATCAGAATTTGATATTTGATTTTACTTTTCTTACTGAGCCTGGTTGTCCCACGAGGAGTATCGTTAGTCTAAATGAATCCCCCCCCAGTTCATATTAATACTCACATCCCCCAACGCAAAGGCCCGAGGAGTGGGTAGCAGGCATATAATGATTGGAGCGTTTTTTATGGACTAAACCTAAACGTAAATTAATATTATCATTTGCAAAGCTTGTTCTTAGTCTTACTCATCCAAACTGGAAAATTCTGCAGCAGTTTTATTTGTTATTGTGTACCGCGCTCCTGACCGTAC